AAAGAGAATATGCAGGTGAGGTGTAATGCTGTAGGAGCTGCAAGTGTGTGTTGCAGGTGTGACATTGGATTTTTGCTTTTGCTAATTAAATTCAAGGGCAACCCGCTCACCAGACTTCACATCGGAATCGATCTCTAATCTATTATATTTCTTGCTTTTTAAACTTATATGTTTTAAGTTTGTGCTTAGGGCCAAAAAAGAAAACAAACATCTGAGCAAATCTTATTAGTTTTTTATTTTAATAAGTTCTTTAAAAACAAATATGTTTTTTAGGTTCATGTAAACTGTGCCCAATTCTAAGATTTTTTCAATTGCGATTGACTGCATATTTAAATTGAAATGATCTTAATAAATTTTAAATGTATGAACTCCTGCTTCAAGCTAAAGTACGTTCTCCAGTTTCTTCAAAAATAAGTACATGTGACGCGTTCATATGCGCAAAAGAATATTTATTGATATTTATAATTGTATTTCGCATTTCTTAGCCAGATGTTGCCTGGTAATATAATTGACAATTTATGTGATTGTCAATCGGCACAACAACAACAAAAATTACAATTTACCTTTCCATATTCGGTATTGATTTTCAATTGAAAGTCATTAAATATTTGTTGTTTGCCCTAGATTTTCTCTGGCTGCTGCTCAACTGACAATTTTTGTCTACTCTAGTTGTTTGTTTTTTTAAAAATAAATTAGACAATTTTTCTTGTCTAATGTGCTTGGTGCGTTTTTGGTTTTTATTTATTTTTAGCCTATTTTGAATGATTGTTATGGATGCCGGGTAGACACTTCTTGCATATGCTTATCGTTCATAGATTGCTTTATTTATTGGCTGATTGGGCGGTATCTTTCTACTCATATATTCGTTGCGCAAATGCTTCTGCATTTAATGTGCCATCCATTTTGACTAATGGTCGCTCGTTAGCTATGTAAATGAGTTTTTTATGGCTATTTTTGTTTTTAAGTTAGAAGACGGGCATGCATAGCAGCCAATTAATTTATTATTTTTTTTTTTATATGAATATATTTGAAATTTTCTAAACTCTTAAAGCTATAATGTATGAGCGAATTTATTTATATTTCACTCAAGTACCAAATTTAAATAGGCTTAAGCTTTAAATAGTTCATACATCATTTTATTTCACTTTTACAATAATTTCTAGTTTTTCAATAACTGTCTTTCGTTGAGTGTTAAAATGTAAGTTGAATTTTTATTACAAACGACTGCAGAAAAAATTGTATTTTATTTCAAAATTAAGCTCTGACACGCATTCAATTTTTAAAATATTTTCAACGGCACTTATTAAGTTGGTCTGGTGCCAAACACTTTCTCTTTCACTTTCCCAGTCCTAGTCCCAGTTCCAGTCCCTATGGACTTTCTATCGGGCACTGCAATCGGTTCGTATATTTATGCTGATTAGGTACGTTAACAATTTGCAGCACGCGAAACTATTTCAACAATTTTAAGCGGCAAGAACTTACAGCATAAATCGCCACGGAGGCCACAGGCCAGACGAGCTATTCGCTGGTGTGGGTAAACGCCCGAAGTCAGTGAAAATATTTAATAAGGTTCATGGTGCGGAGTCTAGGAAGTACTCGTAATAGGGAAAATGCATGCAGCGCACACGCGACTTCGTAATATTAAGAAAATTCTCTGCAATGAAAACCACGCACACACCCACACACACGCACACTCAGACACAATGCTTGTTATAATGCAGTCAGGGACATTTAGGAGAGGGAGGAACTAAAAAAAATGCTTTCAACGCGACACAACTGCCACAAAAAAAGTGAGAACACTACAGTTAGACATAACCAACTGAAAAATACTCAGATATCAGCAGATAACAGGTGGAAAATCCCCTTCTTGGGATGGTAAGCTTAATTTCGAATTTAACTCGAAAACTTTGGTTGTTGTGGGAAAGTTTTTCACAATACAGATAGATAATACAAATAAAAGATTTGTCGAATTTAAAAGTGGGTATCTAATCTCCAAACTGGGTGACTGTGTATCGATTTGCCATGCCCCAAATGCGAACACTGGTGGCCGGGTAAACTATTTGTTGTTCTAAGAAGGAAGTATCAACTCCCCAAATTGGATGATTCTAGCTTTTGCAATTGTGTAAGATATGTAGTTTTATCGATTTCCGCTTACTGATGTTATCGACTTGGCGAACTATCCAATATTATCATTTGTCTGAAGCGGACATAGACGAATATATATTCATAAAAAACAGAGTCCCGCAAACAGATATGAGGGGCATTTCACAAAACTAATATACTCTGCTATCTCCTCTATCAGAGTATAGTAGATAGATTCAAGTGCGAAAAATTCCAAAACGGAAGTTTCTTTAAAATATGGGCAAAAAATCCATAAATGTCAAGCGGAAATTATGCGAAAATAGTATGCAATAAAAAATGGTCTAATGTCAGTGGCACGAAGTCGTATTCATTCATATGTGTTTTACATTGTGTTGTATTTCAGTGATGCTTATGAATCTGAGGTGTCTGCTGCATCCTGTGTGAGTAAATGTAAAACCTGTGTTGCTCACAAATAATATTTTAATAGCGGCAATGACAACACAATTATTAGAAAGTGCGGAACTCCATCAAGGTTCTCTGCTGCACTATTTTTAATAACTATAAGGCATAACCAACTTTTCTTGAAATTATATTTTAATATGAATTAATATTGCTTGAATTTGTACTATATTTTTAGTTGAAAAGTCCGATTTTCTAGTCACTTATAATTGGAATATTTAACTGAAATATTTGTTTCTTTCTGAAATCGAATGGCAATCACAGATCAAGACTATTTTGTTTGTTAAGTTGCCTCATCTATGACGAGTAATACTCAGAAAAATGCTGAAATTTAGAAAATCGACTGAAATGAAAATTACACTGAATACTCTAAAAACAGTTTTTTGTGCCTAGAACTAATTTCGAAATATACGAAATTATAATTAAAAGGCGTCTTTCTATATTTTTCAGAAATATGTTGCTTGAAGTCGAACAGCAAATCCATTTAAAAAAATCTTTTATGAAACTCAAAAAAAAAATTATGAATTAGAAACCTGTTGGAATGATATAATCAACAAATAATGTAAGGTTAGAGTTCTGACTACACCTATAAAGTTAAACATAAATTTTAGAAAATTCAACTTTCGGAAGAATAAGGTCAGTTACCGTTGGCTATAAAGATGTGGCTATTTTCACTGAGTGTAGAACTATTCACACTTTCGCATTCGCAGGGTCATATATTGCTATAATATTTTTAGCTCTAACATGCATAAAATTATAATATATCTTCAAATACTACGAGCACATATATCTAACTAGAAACGTGGCACACAATAAGTAAAACGGCGAGTCACAGCCAAGGACTCTGGCACTCAGCTAAAGAACATTGGACCAAAACGATAAGTGACAAACATGGCAGACAAACAAATGTATATTTTATACATGACATGTTGTGGGCAATTTGGGTATGGTATGGTATGGTAGAGAGGGGCGGCACGGAGTACTTGGCAAAAGGAGATGCACAACTGTCAGATAAGTACAGAAAGCAGTTTGGCCCGCAGGTGACAAGTTAAACATCTTGTAAGCATTTGCATTTGTACACAAGCAAAAAAAACTAAAAAGAAAATATATATATCTATATATAAGATAAAGATACTCAAGCTCTGGTATAATACAAATAAATTTGCTGGAAATAAATAACTAAAGCAAGAAAAGAGACACACCGTTGGCAAAAGGAACATCCTTTATGTACAGTTCATTTCGTTTATGTGTTGCAAGCGACTTCAAAAGGGTTATTGTTGTTGTTGCCCATGGCTTAAAGCATATTTGATTATGTCATGAAATATGCTGAAGGATAGGCGCTGTGTTTGCCAAGCCAAAGATAAATTTAAGAAATATGCAAATATTGCCCCGCCCCATACCACAAGAACCTCTTTCAAGCCTCAAAGCCATTTTGAAAATTATAATCATATTTATTTTTTTTAATATATATGTTCTGTTTTATATTTACTAAATGTGTTTGTGTGTCTGTCCATATAAATAAAGGCAATTGAAATTGCCAGAGCTTCTACAAAATTTTCTATCATGATTGGTTCTAATGGGAAAAGTAAATGTTTTTCCATCCATATGCAAATATTATGCAGCATGCACATTGTTTTCAAATTTATTGATGAAATTGCAGCATAACTATTTAAAAGGACACTTTAGACAAGTACTTTAGAACTTTAAAATATCGATTAATGCGAGGATAGGATGAAAATACATGTAAATGTGAAAATATTCGCATAATCTCCCATTTGTGTAAAGCAATTAAGGCACTGAGGCTCTTTAGTTTTTTTTTAGTTGCATATAAGTAACGTATTAATTAATTTGGAAATTTGCTTATGCGGATTAGACAAATACGTTTCTGTCTCATGGTCTAGTCAGGATATTCAGGAAACTAGGTTGAAGATCAATTTTGAGTTCTAAATGGGCTGGCTATCAGTTAAGAATTATTACTATCATTAATATCAATTAATAATAATAAAATTGTAATTTTGATAATATCCATTTTTAATTTGAATTGGAATAATTTATGTAGAAATTGATTTAAATGGTAATTGAAGAAAATGAAAGGTTTCTTACTTTTATTTTTATTATTTTAATTTTTAATTAGTTCTAACTCCAGTTATTACAGAAAAAATACATATATGAAAAAGTATAAAATGAATGTTTAATTATCCTTTTTATATAACGTAATTTAATTGCCAACTAAATGTCCCTTTGCAAAATAATTCAATTACACTTAGTCTGCACTTTAAAATGCGTTTATGGTCGACGCGGCTTAAATATTTATGGTTATGCTTGCGTGTCATTATTAAAAGCACTTGTAATACTTCTTCAACCCCCTCACCCAACGCCAGCACCACGAGTTTCGATCAATTATACATTAATATGAAGCCCTTGAAAAAAAGAGCTCATTAAATTATCAAAGCACTTACCCTTTGAAGGTATCTCGGCTGAAGTGGGCGTGGCATTCATCATTAGAAGTAGTATGGACACGGTGTTGATAATGAGCGCAATCCTGGCTAAGCGCCCACATGCGTGGAGGCGTGTCCATCCTTTCCCTCGCTCAAGTCGTCGTCGTGGTCGTGGTTTAAGCGCAAACATTTTCGACAAAACTCTGCAATGGGCAATAGTCAAAATTGTGCTCACGATGCGAATGCGAGGTAAACTTCTCCAGAGACAGAGAAAGAAAGAGTCAGTTAAACATAGATAGAAAGAGAGAGAGAGAGAGAGAGAGAGAGAGAGAGAGAGAGAGAGAAAGAGAGAGAGGGGGAGAAATAGAGGGAGTGTGAGAAAGAGAAACAGAGTGGGTCACACACCAAACCTACGATGGGCTCGGAGTGCTGAGGGAGGAATTAGGAGCGTCGCTACTACAGGATCTCAGCGCCTTTTCACCTTTAATCACTTAAATGGCGCGTAATCAACAACAATAACAACAACAATAGCAACAGCAACATCAACAACATTGCAATCCACACCAGCGTCGACAGCATTGAAATTGAGCGTCATGATGGCGAGGCTGATGACGTGCGGGTTTGCCAGCACTTAACGGTAAAATGGAGGCGACAATCACCCACCTCCTTTTACCCTACAGACCGGATCCGGATGCGTTGCGTTTTCAAGCCAAAACCAAAAATGTTGTATACCCTAAAAGAGGGCTTACACATAAATACAGATTGCGCTTTTGCCTCAAAAACTTGACGTCGTTTCAAGATTTCTTTAACATTATTTTTTTAAAAGACAGATAAATAAATCTTAAGATACGAATACATTTTTCATGAAAGCTATTTTCATTTTTACTATTATATTAAATTAAATTAACATCTAACAATATTATATATTTTAAAAAATCAATATGTATCTGTCAAACATGATAATGATAATATCAAACATGATAATGATTCATCAAAATAACATATTAATTTTTAAGAGCAAGTGTTGTGGATATTTTCTAATTGTTTGAACAAATATTGGTATTTGCATAATTAAATATGTTAAGCTTGTATTCGTCCTAAGGTCAAATATCTACATATTTATAATTGTTTCTTACTTGGAGCATATTATTATATTTTTAGCTCAGGTAATTTTGCTGTATGGCCCTTTTGTAGTTAGTCCACAACAAATAAGAAACTAATCCCAGAAGGCTCTGTTTTTTAATATGCCTGCAAGGGTATTCAAAATTCGGCAAGTTAAACTTCATGTTATTCTTCCTCGTTGTTGATTTTGTTGGTTGTTGACTGTTGTTGTTGCTACATAGTTTGGCTGTAGCTTTTTGACTTTGCCAACGTTTGTTTGTTTGCTTGTATGGAACGTACCCAGAGGGGGGTGGGCTCAAGAGGTGGGCCAAAGGGGGGCGTTTGTGCGACTGTCGTCGCGCTGTTAGACAAGTACATTTTGAGGCGTTGTTTTGACGTGTTTGTGGGGGAGGGAAGCGTAGTTTCTTTGTTGTTGCCGTCTAGATTAAGTTGAGACAATTAAATGAAATATGCTTAGACAGCATTTAGACAGTAATTTGATTTTGTGCGTTGCTTTTGATTGTTTCGCGTAACAATTTCGTGGCGCGGCCTGAAGCTGTTTAAGTTATTGTGGCACTTTCCGAGCGAATTTATTGAAAGTTAATTTACTTTCAAAACAGCAAACGATTAGTTGAAGTCCGTATATCTTTGGCGTTTCCTGGCTTTTAATATAATCCTTAAAACAGTTCATAATAATAATTGTAAAAAATTAAATAATATTTATATATTTAAATAATATATGTGTAGTATTTTCGTAAATTAAAAATACGATTTTTTAAATGGCTTAAATTTTATTTTAGCAACAAGTTAAAGGTGTAGTTGTTAAAACTCGATATTGATAATTGTTATTCCCTGAAAACATTAAAAATTGTTTCAGTTCAGGCTTTTGAAGAAATATATGCACTTGTTTTTTTACTTTCAGTACCCAGATGAGATCAAAACTTTACGCAAAACTATTAAAGCGAAATTCGGCAATAAAACGAGAATGTATCCAACAGCTGGATAATATAAACAATAATAATAAATAACGTTCAATAAATCGTCTTTACTTGTCTAACTACTGGATGTATTACTTTCATAAGATTTCAGTAATTTTGCGCATTCCATAGATTAGAGTTTTTGCTAAGTTCTTAGCTTAATGAAAAAATTTAAAATGAACACTACTGCTGACATTAAAAACAAAAAAACTGCATTTAAATTTTTAACGTAGTATGTGTTTAAGAAACTATTGATTTTTGATATTAGTAATTAATTTTAAACTTTTGTTTACTACAAAATAAAGAATTTATTTCAAGAATATTTAAAAAGTTTTCAGAGAAAAACTTTCTAAACTGTGGGCTTAACTGTTTGCAGTTATATTAAAAGCCATCACAGGGAAAAAAGCCCGCAGATAAATTTCCGTTTTGCTTCAATGTGCGACGTCAAACTGTCGACGCTGTGTGTTGTTTGCAAGCAAATCAACTCTGACAAATGAAATGATTACACAAAGTAAACACCAAACACGTTGAACAAACCACCTGTCAGACAGACAGCTGCCAGCACACACAAAAATTTGCCAAACAAAAACTTCACTCCCAAGCGGGAAGGGGGAAGGAAAGGCAAAATGCCAGCGGGCAGCAGAAGCAGTTAAAAACATGGCAACGTTTTACAAGCGGAAAGCCAAAGGAATATTATAAGCAAAACAAGAACAGCAGCAGCAGCAAGGACAGACGACCAAAATGCCAAAACCGAAACGAAAGCCACCGCGCTGAAAATGCATGGCTGCAAAATGGCAATGGCAACACTTCCGCTTCCGGCGCTTCGGGCGTCGTCGCACAGACATTGAGCGTCGAGCGTTGGGCGTTGAGCGTTGAACGTTGAGCGTTGAGCAACACTGAGCTCAACAACGACGGACGCGAACAGTGCCGAAACAACAGAAAGCTTGTTAGTGTTGTTCCCCGCAGCGCTGTCAAAACGAACAGCAACAAAAAACACTAACAACAACAATGGCAAAACTATTTTCAGAATGCTATTGGTAAGAATTTGCAGACTGGCAAATACGCTGAAAATATAATATTATTGTGTGAATTCCTGCAACAATTTGTAGGCCTATTCACAATGGAAATAAATCCTAGAAATGTTCATAAATCGGAAATTTAATAAATTTAACATTTTTATACATTTAGATATTCATTTTATTCGTCGGCTGTGTAGTTTTCCTGTTTCGACCTATTCACAATTAAAATATCCCCTGGAACTACAAAGCACATTTACGACTTGAATATTTTCAAAAAATTGTTCATTGATTTTATTTGTATTATTAGTTAGTCGACATGGGAAAGGTAAATTGTGCACATTATTGAATAATTTCTAAAAGACTAATAAAATTTGTTTCTCTCAATTTCCAGAATTCTTTTAACAACTTTTTCCTAAGTTAATAGTCTTAAACACTTTCACAAATTTTATTATGGGAAAATTAAAAATACATAATTTGATCTATTCATATTGAGACTTCTGAAAATAATAAAAAATTGAGGAAATTACTTTTAAAAAAATATATTTTATAAAAATCTTGTTAATGGAATCATAACTGCATGCAAAGAATCTGAACTTTCCATTTTTTTAAAATGCGGAATATTCGAGATAGAGAAGTTAGTCTTTATTCGAAAAGAAAAATCTGACACTGATTAAATGCTACAAATTGTAATTTTACATTGATAAGTTTGTAATTAAATTTGTGGGGCAAAAATAAAATTTGAAAATAATCCCAGCTTAAATAAAAAACAATATTTTAATTAATTAGTTGTCTCTATTAATCATCTGAACCTTAAAATGTCCAAAAGCAAACCAAAAAAAATCCTGAGCCATCCTTTGGTTTGCAGGGTATAAAAACAAAAGCCCTTATGGGCTGAGAGGGCAGGATGAGCAGGATATTCCAGACATGAACAATGGCGACAAAACGTACAGCAATTTTAAACGCTTTTAATATTAAAGCGTTGGGATAGAGTCAAGCAAAGCGACACACGGTAGGGGACAGGAGGCAGTCGGTAAAGGCACAAGGCACAGGGCTCAACGCCGGAGGTGAAACAAGCAACAAAATGCAACACGGCTGCAACAAATGCAACAACAAAAATATGCGGTCCCAGGCAAAAGCCGCGACTGCATGAAAATGCCACGCCAAAAAAATAGAAGAAAAACACAGTCCAGGGCCACAGTGCCTCCGGACGAGAACTGCAAGGAGACTCCTTTCAGTTCCTCCGACGCCAGCTGCAGTCTCCTGTTGGCCGGTTGCCCCCTGTTGTTGTTGTTGCCGTTTTGCTCTTCGTGACGAAATTGTTTCGCTTAACTGGATTTTCAAATATTTATTGCAACAAATTATTTTGCTGGTTATATGTCTCTTGCCCCATAAGCCCCACACCTTTCCCCTTTCCTACTGCTGCTGTTTTGCGAGTGGTTTTTATGACCATTTAGTTTGTTTCATTGCATTGCCAGGATTTGAAGTCGAGTTTTTTCTCTATGTGGCTTTTTGCCCAACAAATTAGGATTTTATGTGAATTTATATGCATTGCATTTGGTGTGAAGGAATAAACATGAAATAATATGCATATTCCAATTTGGCTCGTTAAAAAAATGTTTATTAAGAGCGGCTTAACAATTAATGATTGAGAACCAAGCTTATATCTCTTGAATATTACAAAATATATTCATTGGTAAAAGTACTACAAAAAATAGATTATTAAAATCATAAAATTGGAAATGAATTTGCAATAATTTGCATGAAAAGACGTAAAGTATTTGAAAATATGTCTTAAAATCATAAAAATGGAAGTCTTTGCAATCATCATAAAGGTTGTAAGTCTACTTAAATAAATAATTTGTTTCTTCTGTTTCTTTGTTTTGTCGATGCCCACTTGTAAAACAATTGCTTTTTATAATTAAACAATTTTCATTTCCGCAAATTGCAAACCTTTATTCAAGCCAAGCATTCAATCCAAAGTTTCACACAAAATAAACAAACAAACAATGTTTCGCCAGAAGATGGAAGGGGACAGAGACAGAGAGTGAGAGTGAGAGAGAGAGACAGATAAACTATTTCTAATTACATCAAATTACGCACACGCGCTTGCGATGCTAGTGAAGTTGAGTAACGGGATTTCAAGCGCTGCGCGACAATTGCAGTGAGGCGGGCTGTCAGGGAAAACTTTCACTTGATGCGTTCAGATCTTTTTCGAGGGCTGCCAGAAGCTGGCTGGTGAATGAATGAATGACAACAACACTGGCAGCGACGAACACAACGCGACGAACAACATTTCGTGTCAAATCGTTTGAGAACGGCAAATGGTAAGCACGGAAACACGGAAACACTCGCGCTACAAGCGTAACAGTTACACAAATGGACTATGTTGGTTGAACTATGAGCACACCGAACGCATAGCCGTCCGCACAGAGCGATAACCGATGCAGGACTAAATGCCAATGGCGTTGACTCGATTGGTGGAAAGGCGGCGGACGAACTTCGTTCGTTTCGTTTCTAGCTCGTAGCGTCGTTCGTCACTCGTTCGGTTTTTCGAATTTCGAAACTGCTCCAGCAACAAAGAGAGCACACTGAAGAGCGCCACTGGAAAAAAGCAAAGCGTTCATTTTGATATAATGTGTGTGAGAGTGAGTGAGTGACTGTTTGGCTGGAAGGGTGGAGGAAGGACGCGTAAGGCTGTGAAGTGTTTGATTTAGTTGCTTAGTGCGTTGATAGGCGCGCTGTTGATTGGTTACCTTTGCTATGTTCTACGCTCCGTTAAACCTTAAGAGTAATGAAGAGCTCAGAAGCAAATAAAAGATGATTCTATGTTATTTTTACAGAAAATAAGATTGAAGCTCTCAATTAATAATGTGTAATTATATGGGTAATAGTAAGTGAAATATAATATATAATTTAAACAATATCATTCATATTTATATATTTTAAAATATTCCGATATTGATATAATGGAACACGTATGGGGTAGAGCAGAGTATACGACAGTTTTTTTAAAAAGTCAAACTTCAAATTTGTTCAATTCGCTACCCATTAAAATTAATTTAATTATTATGAATACACTAAAATACAATGAAGCCTCTGCTAATTTAAAGTATTCGATGAACGGCATTCTTATTGCATTTTTTATACTTTGATACGGAAGGTATCAACGAGATAAATAGAGATAGAGACTTGACACTTGGTCTCTGTCGGGGACAGACAACGTGTAAAAATTGGAGTGGTACGTCCACTAGGGGGATACAAAATCGATCCAATCGATAATAGCAAATTGATAAAGACACGTATCTCCTACAATTAAAAGGCTACAGTAACCTAATTTGTTGGTAATGTCCTTCAATGATCGACATATGCCACGTTCACCTTCACCTCCACCGACCAATTTTGTAGTTATATTACTGGTAGCCGCGCATAATCGCCGATCGCGCATAATCGCCAAAGCTAATATTTCGCAAAGTGTATGTCGATAAATCCGTATATCTCCCATATCTTCCACAATTCGGAAGCTAGAGTCACCAAATTTTGAAAGTACGTTACTGGTAACTCCCCTAAGAGATCGATAAAGAAAATTGGATGGCCACGCCTACTCCGCCTCCTCAATCCGATACACCTCTTAATCGATAAATTCATAAATCTCATACAATTTCAGAGCTGTAGTCTATTAGGTATATTGCTAACACCATTCAAAAATCCAATAACAAATTGGATAACATCCCCTACAGCCCCCAAATAACATAAAAACCTATATCTCCCGCAGCTTTATGGATATAGTGAAGAAACTTGAAATGTACATTATTCAGATCGTCCTCCAAAATTTAAGAGCTAAAGTTACCAAACATGGCAACAGGTTACTAGGAAACTCTTCCAAAAAGTTTTTGCAGCTACACTCACTCCCGCCCCCACAAAAGCCTATATCTACCGCAAATTGAAAGGCAAACTTGGACGGTATTTCTTGGCTACTTCCACCAAGTTCTTTGCTACCTGCCTGTACTAACTGGTATATGATATCAAAGTATATCGCAGTCGGTTACGCCCGACTAAAACTGACCAGCAATATCTTTGAGAATGTAAATCTAATTCACATATATTATTAATTTTTAAGGATTAAACATATGATATTATAATTAATTATTTAAATGTCCAAACTAATTTGTTTCTCAAGAGAGGTATTGTGAGCGCCTTTGGCTAAGGCACTTAATTTAATGAAAGTGGCACAGCTGTGTATAAATATGACACTACTACCATATAAAATTCATCGCAGGTATGTAAGCAGAACAACATTTATTACATTCACATTTCGTATAATAATTATCGTATAACCATTTTTCTTTAATTTTGAATACCCGCAAACATCACATTTAAAGCAGAACTTCCTCAGCTACAAATCGGATCTACGTTCAAATAGTTCTGCTCAGCAACCCGACAATCTGCACAAAGCCCAGGCAAGCAACCAGGCAATCAAGCCCCAAACTCCTACCCCAACCACAACCACAACCACTCTGCTCAACAGCTCTTTGTCAACTAAGCCACTCTGCATGTAGCCAAATTAATACGCATATTAAAAAAAAAAAAACCGAAATAAAATAACTGCACAAATTGGTTTATCTGTGAAGGCACACAAAAATTTGTTGTCAAAACCAGCAGCAGCGGCAACAACAACAACTGACGACAAAGTGAAGTGGCAACCACAATAAAATTATTCCACATACGCAGCGCTGGCTGCTGCCAACATTTAGATAAACACAACTCTATAAACTTAAAAGCTAGCAAAGTCAGAAACTGACCAACAATAGAAACTAAAGCAAAATGCCAACAAAAACATGATCATAATAATAATTTATACATACATAGATAAATTTGTAAGTATGCGCAGATCTTTAGCC